TCATGAACATAAGGAATGTGTTTTCAGCACCAGTGACGTGTAAGTGTATCCCCAAAGAAGGAGGCAGGTAAATCATTGCAAAATGTTTTAGTTTTAGTAAGTGTTTTACGGGACTTGCAACACAATAAGGTGGTCACATAAGTGCCGAAGATTAGAGGTATTACAAGAGAGTAACAAACACAAGAAAGAAGGAGGGGAGAAAATGACGATAGACGTTTGATAGGAAAGAAGAAGCAAACCACACCAGAGCACCCGTCAACCCCCCACTCCACTGTCATTTAGGTGTGAGTTTATCCCCAAAGAAAGAGGCGGGTAAATTATCGCAAAATGTGAATAGCCCACGAGAACAAAAAAAAAATAAATTCCAAAGCCACATTCATCTACCAAAAACACCCAAAATTAATCGACATAACACCTAAAAATCTAACAATTTAGGCAGAAATGCCAGCCCTAACAAAAACATCCCAAGCAATCGCCTCAAACAAAGATCTCTAAAACCTTGACCGGTGACTTCGATTCCTCTTTTTTTTTTTAATCTTTGAACAAATTGGGTTTTTTTGAAAGTCACAGCATAGCCATTTTTCCTTCTTCTTCTATTTTTTTCCTTTCCTTTTTCTTTCTTTTTTAAAAATTCTTTATTCTTTCTTCCTTTTTATTTTTTAGTTGCACGATTCCTGCAGAAACACGACAAGCCTCTTCATAACGCTACGACTAGACATAAATCACGAGGAGAAGCTGGAAGTGGATGGCAAAAAGCAGCCGAAGCAAAGGAAGCATCCGATCCAAGAAGAAGGGTAGGAACCTTTCCGATTCGGCAGAAATATTGTTGTAGGAATATATGGACAGGCCATGGAATTAGATCCCCGAATAATAATATTATGTACATATGATGTAGTTGGCGGTTAGGGAGTTTCTGACTCGATGTATGAGGAACAAGCCGGTTTGTTTGTCTTACGGCCATTTACTCGTTAATTTGACCTCCGGAACCAGGCAACCCCTACTTCCCTTAAATTGCAAATATCTCGACTTCTATTCAAGATAAATGGGTATTTAAAAATTTTTAAAAAACCAAAAGCAAGATATATAAACAGGCTTAACGATGATACCACTAACTCCATATGCCCCCCAAAATTGACGAATGCCTGATTCCACAGCGTCGTGACAGACCGTATCTACATAGAGAGTCGCCCGCATGGTCGGG